ATGCGCATTCCCACACCCATCAGTTTCAACAGATGTGCCAGACATAGAACGGGCCTCCCTATGGTAGCAATCTAAAATTAGTCTTCGTTAAACACAAAGGAGTCAGAAAGTTGCAAGAAAATTTTTGCCAAACTGTTTCGCAAGTATCAATCTCTTTTACACCAATGTAGCACATTGTAAAAGACGGTTTTGTCGAAGCAGAAGAAGAATGGGTCGCAGCACCTTATTTTCAGCTTTTTTTTCATTATGCACCTGGTAGGCATTCCCTCTGTTGTATTTTTTTAAATGGAAACCAAATAGGTGGGGGTGATAGCCTTCCGGTCGATAATGTCTTGAGGCAGTCGCGAAATAAATTGGACAGTATTCACTCCATAATGTTAACCCCACTAATCCAATTATACTTTGCGACTTGATACTGATTTTTGGGAATTGGGTGAAAAAGTGCGGCGTTCATTCATAACTTTGTGGTGAAGGACTAAAAAATCTAACATTTTTGTTGCCACAGACAGCGAAAATCGTAGCTGCTGGAATGTTTGAACAAGGCCACTTGCTGGCTCGTGAATTCACGAGGCACATTTTTGGGCCCGAACATCGGCGTGCCTTAGAAACAAACGTTTTAAAGGTTGCATAATGTAAATAAGTCAAGTCTCTGTAATTCATGGCAAGAATCTGGCAGAAAAATTAGAACTTTTTTCAATACCAGCTATGAAGGCATCAGCTATTTCTAGGTTGGACAAAATTTAGGTGACCAAAGGGGATCATCGTCTACGAGCACAGAAGATTGATACCATAATGATGTTAAAATTAATTTTACGAAAGACCACGTAACGAATCAAAAAAAGGGTGTACGTTTCTCATATCCCTTTCTCAGCATGAAACGTCTAGTTAAAGCCCTACATGCCAGTTAAAATGCAAACTACCTTTGGCCTAGAGCTTTTTACTAAGAAAATTGTCCACAACGAAGCCTGATAACCTTTCTTCTATTACCAGACCAAAGCCGTGTTCATTTTTGGTTGGTTGGTGGTTACATAGTGAGACCCCTTGGGTTTTGCCTGCCTCTCCATTACACAATGCGCACTTTGACACCTCGAGGTGGTTTATTGGCACCAATAGCGCCGGAGAGTACGTAGTGAGTCATATTGATTCACGTCCATTAATCGGGTTGCTGCAGTCCGCGACTTTCTGTCCTCCAGTTCAGCTTCATGCTTGCACTCACAAACTTCAGTGCATGCATCGCCCCCTCTTTCAATTGACCAGTCAGTTATTTGTACGTTATCTGGTTCACTCATGCCACTAATCAATAACTGCATTAGGTATGCACTACACACACACAAACACTCATTACACAACCTGTCTGTGCTGTCTAGTAAGCGGTCGTGTCTGCCATCCCTGATTTTCTACTTGTCTTGGGACAATTCAACACGGTAGCCCCGGCGTGGTATAAGACCACGTGTTGGTGCCTCAACAATAAGTCACTAAACCTGCGACGTAGACCACGTACATCTTGAATTTGAGTGACATTGTTCCAGTTGCTTGAAGTCCTTTGCGGTAATTTGTTATCTAGACTTCATTTTATGATCGCTCATGTTACTGATTGAGGGAATAGTGAATAGAGTAGAAGTAGCTTAAGGATAGCATCAAAGCGTAATTCAGCCAATTAAATCCGCCCCGGGTACTACTGCTGTTGCGGTCGCGTCTTGTCAGGATGCTGTACATTGACACGAATATATTACTCATTTACTTCCTAAAATCTACTAATATACGGTCCTTGGATTTACCACACGATCATGTGGATCCTACTACACAATGCAGTATTCACACGTTACCACCCAAAAAAAAAATCCTTGATTCCTGAAGTTGCAAATTAACCAAAAAATTCCACTATTAGAAGAAGGCGAGAAGTCACTGATGGGCATTACGCGCTCTCAAAAAAGTGCCAAGCAAATGCTAATGCCATGCTAAGCATCCCATGTGACTTAACACACAAAAAACCCAAACTAACCCACACCTTAAATGGTAAAAAGACGGAAATCGTCGATGTGAGTTTAACTTTGACCCCATTGTAAGATGAAATTTCAGCGGTTTTCCATTATTGCCGAACTGCGCAAATGTCTAATTGGTGAAACGGTGGAACGTTAGTTAGGCCAAAGCAATTTGAAGACGTTCATACTTTACTGTTTGGGTAGAATACAGCCTAAACAATTGCAAGATATCGCCCGAACAAAACCCGAAACGCCCATCTTTTGTGATTTATTAAGATTTGCGGAACGCTTTAGAAGTAACTTACATTTTGAAAATTTCCTGCAACCTTGGGCATTTTTGCCCAAGTTGCACAGTCGGTCTTGTCTCTAAAGTGTACGCAGAGTTCTGTCTACTCACTTATGTTTCAGCAACCCCGGATGGAAAATTAATACATTGGTCGGTTATTTTTAGCTACAGTAGTCGCTGGGGGGCAGTGATTGACAGAATGTCATTGTCGGTGATTCGCAGCTCCTAAAAAGCAAGTCAGCGATGTTTCTTAACATGCTTGGGTGCTAGGAAAATTAGGAAATTTTAAATGACCAGGCACACAAATCACAAGTAAAAACTAATTTTCGACAATGCCAAGTTGATAGGAAGTAGAGTTACATGAAAGTAAACTTCAAATTTAATTAAAAAGGCACCTCTTTCAGTAGACGTCAGTGTTTTAACAAACCCATTCACCGCGGCCCTAATGTCTGTCAGTCCACCCACAAGACCGTCCGCACATCAGTTAGTATTGCTCACAGCGCTCAAAGTTACTTGAACTAGGTTGTCAAAGCATTTCCGGAAAGACGCACAGAAGTCCGTTTTCACTAAGACAAAGTGGTGTTATACTAACTCATAAATTACTTGGCCGCACAACTGCATATCCGGAAGAGGTTTGCCTTGATTTATTAATAAAAATCGACCGCGTTACATCTCTCACTGATATCCTCACTCAACAAAAAGCGGTTTTCTTAATCCAGTTAAAATAACTAAGGCAATAACTTTCTACATTTGTAACAAAGAGTTCCATTTTTCAGATGTTTGCTGCATATTATTTTCTCATTCGCTGCTAAATTCACATAAACGGAGTTGACGCAACGATTTTTAAACCTACGTCTTAATGGTTACTCAAAAATCTTTTTTAACACTTCTTCCTCTGTGTCTTCTGTGAAACTGTAAGTGCGTCAATGATAAGGCACATTCCGTATTTTACGCGTTTATCCAGGCAAAATTAACAAAAAACAACGATTAACACGTCTACTAAGGAGGGTTTCGCAAGCGCCATAAACGCACTGTGGACAAATCGATGAGCACAAATGCTTCTAGGGAGGTGTCGAGGGAACAATCAAGTGTGACGAAAATAGTTTGCATCCGCTGTTGGCAATTTCAAGTCGATGGTTGGCAGCTATCGGCATTTACCAATGAGTCAAATTGGCTTGCCGCTAAACGCAGCTATCATGACGATTTCGCGAACAATCGCGTTGACCGACAGACTCGCAAAGTGGACGGTAAAAGTGGTGGACGACCTGGCTGTTTGTGATGTGCTGGTGTAAATTAATGCCAACCAATAAACCCACTAAGGCAGCTCATTGTTAGCACTGAGAAGTGAAGTGGGTATAGCAGTATTGCCCGCGGACGATCGTAGACAAGGTGGGCCGAGTAGCACCAACGACCTCACAATGACCACAACAATTCGTGCTCGCTAAACGGAGGGATTAGGGGTGTCAGGTGGGGTGAGTCATCCTTCACCGGAATCAGTGAAAATTAGGCCGGCGGAATGAGATAGTTGCCAGTAAGAGTTGGGTAGGGTAACAGAAACACCGCGGCGTTACATGCTATAACAACACCAGGCCATGCGTTGCCATAGCAGCAAGTTAAAAGGCGTTTCTACAAGGAGTAGAGGGTAATTCTGATTTTGATTGCCCAAAACTGGCCCGTGTAAATATTCAAAGGGCCTGACAATCATGCCTCAAGCAAACACAGCAGTCACGTGATTAGATTGTGAAATTTTGATGCGCTTGTATCATTTATCACGTTATTCTGACCCGAACTCGCTGTTTTACTGTTCTCGCTTGGTTGGCAGACGCTACTTTGCTATATACAACTAGATCGTTCATCCTTTAGTACACCTTGCTAATTGATGTCGGTGTGGTCATAAAAAAACTTACGTACTTTCGAATTAGTGCTGAGCATGCGTTCTCTGTGCGCATTTTGATGGTGGCAAAGTAACCGTTGCTGCATTCGGAAACAAACATGGACACCAAGTAATTAATATTCCAAATAGTGGGTACTGTTAAGCATTAATCAGTTGCTTTCAAATGCATTTAAAGAGAACGGAAGAGAGTTGAGAAAAAAGCGTGTCCAAATAGCGAAGAACTTGACGCCTACTCGGTACTTTTCAAGTAACTTTTTCAGGGGTAGACTAACCGCTCAACAACTAGAGGAAAAGGATGGCCCAGATCAAGGAAGCGACAGTGCAGAGCTTCATTTTAAAAAAAATCGCTGAAAATACGCACGTTCAGCACTGGGGGAACGTTTGTTGCAAAAAACCAAGGTTTAGAAAGATTAATTTGAATGCTTTCGAATTAGCAACACAACCACAAACTTTAGTTGAACCAGGAATGTGCCAAGAGCTAGCAAAGGTGATGCATTCTGAAATTGAGCTAAACCCCATTATTCTGAATAGGATAATAGGACGAGGCATTTCAGAAAGAGCAGCTTGTGTTATTCCCACATGCCCTGACAGGGAATTGGCAGAACGCTTTAATGCGATTATGTCGGCCCAGACTTCTAAACTGGATGTCTGCATTAACGCTACCACGCTAACAGCACGAGCGTTACATCGAGTTCTGACAAACGCAACTGAAAGGCATTAGCCGCTAGCGTGGTACTACTCCGTAAGCCGCTTAAGAAAAAGGTTAGGTTCGTGAGGAAAAATCTAAACAATGGCCAGGTACAAATAGGATTTAAAGGCATTTCAAAGGGAAAGAGGATTACCCAGGCTGAATGCTGCTCATGTCAGCGCAGTGGACAACCTGCGGGAGCTTGAAGTGACTCAACACGACACCACTGTCACCTGGTTCAAGAATGAAGACGCCTTCCGAGGCGATACGAGCCACACAAGCCTGTCCAGCTGTCGAATTACCCTCCGCCGTTGGAGCTATCCGCTTGGACAAGATGTGGGTAGCCATTTCATCAACTGAACTCCGGTTGACTATAGTTGCACGGGAAGAAGAGATATAGCTAATTAAAACTGAGCTTGATATGGATTAGTGATTTTATTTTCTAAACCTGGGGACGACTCCGGGTACGTCAAGTTAAATAAATCAGAAATCGGGGACATTGATGTAAATCAAAGCGAAATTTTTATGCGTTAGTAGAAATACCCTGCATGGTAACAACATAAATGTGTACACCAACAAAAAATAATTGGCAAATGAAGGTAATGGAGCAGGAGGAGGGAGGAGTTAAGGCATTTGCTTAATTCACAATCGAAAAAACCTCTACAAGCCGCCGCCGGGACTCATGCTCTTCAGTCACGATCCGTCGAAT